TCATGCGGTTGCCTTGATCCAGCTTTATTTTTGTCTTGTTCTTCGTCGTTTTTCCTCGTTGTTCGTGTAGTAAAGTTTTGTTGTTTGATTTCCTGTTCTTGAATTACCGGCTTGGAGCCGTAGATCCCTATCGCAGAACCCGGTGAGGGGTACAGTAGTCATATCGTTAAGTGTGCGTTGTAAACGAGGCAGTTAATTACTGCTCAATGAAAGAATTGGGGTTTGAAGGTGACGAGCGAGTTGACCGTGTTCTTGCATGCCAGCCATGTTGTGACTTGTCGAAAGAGAAAGTGCACAAGTAAACGTAAATTCGCGACATCCCCTTTGCTTTTTCCTAAAACCCTGGCCTACGACACTCGCCCCATCCGAAGTATATGTGTGCAGAATTTGGTCTGGTTCGGGTCAAAAATAAAAATTTCTATTCGAAACATACGTACAGAAACGCACACAGACAGACACACGGGCAGATAGACATTCACCTTTATTCATGCAGATACAGCAGGGTGTTGCCATAATAGTGGTTGGCATCGATCTGCATGTTCAGCTCTAGCATAATTTCATTACCTAAATCTAACGAAAGCACTCACCGTGAGCCCTCGAAAAGAGGCTTAAGTTACTTTCTGAGTTTCAAACTTCCAATTTGTGCGACTATGTCGAGAGTTTCTGCATTGTCGCTTGAGACGCCATAACACTCATAACGCTAAAATAACAATGGCCTAGGTATTCTATACAGTACAACACCACAAAACAAATACAGTCAGGATCACACCGGAATTCATTTGTATTACATAAGCGGGCACAAGATCAGGTCAAAAATACCATACTAATACAACAGCAAAGACGGTATTGCTTCGTGCGGGTAGAGCATACGATTCTCTCAAGAAGAAATTCAGTAGAAACAAGTATTACTGAGCAAACGAAAACAAGGTGTTAGCCATGCAATCTGTGTTTAGGCTAACTTCTCAGGTTCACAGGTCCCTAGCCGACCCGGAAGTTAGCCTGAACACAAACTACAGTCTGTGTCAATGCGACTTGGTTTTTTCTACCGTATGCATAGATTCGCGCGTCCGCTCTGCCAGGTCTCGCGCCAAGTCTTCCAGCATGTCCAAATCATCTCATTGTCAGATCAATATGCCAACACATCGCCTGAAACTTTGCCGAGCGGACGCGCGAATACATGCATATGATAGAAAAAATGGAGTTATGCTAGTATCCAGGCCCCAAAATTTCAAAGTCGTAAATTTCGCTATAACTCAGTCTTTGGGGTTATTCGACATGCTGATCATGAATATCACACTCTTTTTGCACAAAAACGTCATTTGGTGGTCTATGGTGAGTATACGGTGGAGCATCAAAACCACGGATTTGGCTGAATCTTGGTCTAGGGAGGCTATCCGACGTATAACGCCCGCGGTTCCGAAGTGTAGACTTTGATTTTATGTGCAAGCGGGCGCCGACATTGTTGATATTCATACGCAACTCCGATCCTTTACATCTCCGTTCCTACTCTTCAAAACTAAGAATCTTTTAACCACACCTTTATCTATAAGCAGCAAAAGCAACGCGGAATAAATATATAAAGCACATTAAAGAAGGAATATGGGAAATTGCAAAGCAAGTACATGATTAGGCACATTAAACACCACAATAACAGCGGACATACTTCAAAACAACATTCACTCACGAGGGTCCAGACGGGAAGCGCGCAGCCACAGGGGAGAGGAGGCCGCTCTCCAGAGCCGAGCCATTCCAACTCCGACTCTCTAAAGCTCCGCCTCCCGCCGATGGCTAGTGACTTGCACTTTTGACTTGGAATTTTATTCGCGCTTCACAGACGTGCTGATCACGATTATCAAGCTTTTTTTGCATTCTGCGGCGGTTAGGAGTTAGGGTAGGTATACGGTATGAGACTAAAACATAAATCTTATATATAAAGCTGAATGTCTGCTTGTCTGTATGTCTGCATGTCTGTCTGTCTGTATGTGTGTACGTATGTTCCGAATAGAAAATTCCATTTCTGAACCGATCGGGACCAAACTTAGCACACATACACTTCGGGCCCCGGCGGGTGTCATAGGCTACTTTTCGTCATCGATCGATATCGATTTTATCGATTTTTTGCAAAATTTGAGCTACGGGGCTGGGAGTTGGCACAGAGGGGGGGTAATCGAGCATGCTGATCACCCCCGTGGGGGTGATATGCTCGATTAATTCCAAATTTAATTCCAAATTCCCAAATTCCAGCCCCCTAGCTCAAATTTTGCAAAAAATCGATAAAATCGACATCGATCGATGACGAAAAGTGGACTATGACACCCGCCGGGGCCCGAAGTGTATATGTGCTAAGTTTGGTCCCGATCGGTTCAGAAATGGAATTTTCTATTCGGAACATACGGCGGAGCCGGGTAAGCCAGCTAGTTTTACTCTAAATTTCGCCTAGGAGGAGGGGGAGGGTATCTAGCCCGCTGAACATGGACATCATGCTGATGTCTCAAAATAGCGCCATTTTCTTGGGTTACGGCGAATGTACGGTAGATGGGTCGAGTTCGAATTTGCGCTTGACACTTTGCCTAGAAGAATTTTCCAAGCATGCTGATTACGAATATTATGAATAGTTGCTGCAGTAACGCCTTATTGTGGAGTTACGGTAGTTTGCAGCCTATGGATTAGACATTTTTTCGCGTTTCGGAGCAATTTGGATCACTGAAATTCACGTAAAGGCTTTACCATGCGGAATGAGCAGGGTATTCGTGATCAGCATGTGGAACAATCCCTCTAGACCGAATTTTAGCCAAATCTGAGATTTTGTCCTCCTAACGTAAACCTACCGTAACTTCACGAAAAGGCTCCAAAATACAGAAAAAGCGTGTTATTAGTGATCAGCATGTCAAATACCCCAGGCCATGTTTCAGCGAAATCCATGATTTTGGCCCCTACCGTATACCCACCGTAACTCTAAGAAATGGCGTTATTGCGCAAAACTAATATTTCGGCATTAGCGGGTCATAACCCCCTTAGATACCCGCGCGGCGTTCGCGCCCGCTCAACTAATATAGCTTTTATGTGCAGGGCTTATCAACCGCAGTGTTGGGAGCACCAGCATCTCCGCTCCTGTGCGGTCGCTTCGACCCCATTTCTTTCGCGAACATGTTCTCTGATCACTTTCTCACCGCGAGATGGGAAAGGCGGAGCCCCAATCATCGGATATGATTAGAGAGTATGTTCGCGGTAGAGGTGCAGAGTCCCATGCAAGAGTGGAAATGCTTGTGCCCGAGACTGCAATTGATGAGCCCTCGTTTGATTTTGGAATAGTCTTGTCTTGGGGTCTGTTAGGTATCAGAGCGGTTGCAGAGAATCCTTTATCCTAGAGGAGCCACAAGATTGAGAAGTGTACGACTGTCGCGACTACATATAGCTGACTTGTTTACATAAACAAATGGGATATTGTACACATATCACATCATTAGGCATATCATTCCTCAACGGGGTTTTTTCAGCGGACCTATGGTTACCCCTGATCACTTTTATTGGCACAATTTTGAACGTCTGACATTAGCACAAGTAGTTACTCCGCGGCCAAAATGTTCATCTCCAAATTAACTGGAACCGTATTCCAGCCCATCTCTATTTCCCGTATCACAACGGTTTGCATGTTTTCGCGTTACTCTCACTACCACAATCCTCATGATATGTAGTCCCACAACAACTAATCAAATGCTTGGTCGTTAACGACTCCCTTGTCCCAGCAGAATAACTAGTTTTCAGCTCAGATTGACAGTGTAAAGGAATTCTTAATTCTTGTTTTAGCATTATGGTGGGAACTTCCAGCATACAGCGTCATTTTGATCTAGCCTCCAATAGAAAAACCCAAAGGAATCTAAAGTTGTGTAATCTAAGCGTTCTCACGCACTACCCTATAGGCAATCGCGTAGGACGCGGAGAGTGCGCAAGGTGTGCATTGCGCATCACTCTTCTTTCCCCATGCACTCGCGCCGCCTGTTTTCTCTGCGCTTCTCCCAGTCATGAACTATCTTCTTTGGACGCAACAGCGTCGCTCTCCGTGCGCAGCGCGGACGGCCTATACTTTCCATGGGTTTGTAAATCTTTCAAAAAGGCTTACTCAGTCCTGAAATTTGAAAAAGCAGTTAGGTATACATGGCCTAAGCTTTAGGAGAAGCATTACCGTAAATGCAATTTCACTGAAAAAAAAAGCGTTTCCATCCTACTAGCGTGAGACTTCCTAGGTTGCTGAGTTCTCTCTAAGCAAAATGTGATCCCTAAGGCTCAGAAGCCTCATTAGTCTACCTCAACCATGAGGCAATGAAGCGATCGGTCTGTAATTTGAGCCGCTACGAAACGGTAACTATCCCACGAAGGCGCTACTGGCTCAAGACAGCTTAGCGACTTCTAGGATGGACTATATCGGGCGGAACATTGCAGACATTTGAGCATGATAATGAACTTGACATTTTTTCTAAAGCATTAATTTCCTACTCTCCCGATATCAAAAACGGCGTGTAATAAAGGCTTTTTTGTCAACAGCGAACTTATCATTGCAACAATTACCGCTTTAGCTTTATGCAAACGCTAAGGGGTGTGTAGCATCAAGTATAATACACTGCAGATTAGTATTTCAGAAGCTTGATCAATGCAAAAGCGAAACACCACAATTATATTTGAACAAAAATATGAAAAATTTTCAATTTCTCGGATATCGTTCTCAGATTTTAGGCTCCAACTCGTGATGTGCTGAAGCTCGTTGATAGCCCCCTTTGGGCAGATTTTGGCGCATCTAGAAAATAGAGTAAAGGATGTCAACCAGGAACCGAACAAATTCAAATGTATATTCTTCACATACGACGAGGTGTTTATGGGAAGGAACAGAATATGCTACACAACGTCTTCCAATAATACTAATACCATATCTACAACTATTAGTATACCAAGGAGCAAATAATGAACAACACCACAAAAACAGACTCGTGTTATCTCCTCAAACGTTACTCTAAATTGTCGCTGGAATGCGAACTGTAAGGTTCTGCTTCTAGCTTGGCTAGAAATTCGCGTGGAATCAAGATAGCCAGGTTTTCGCCAGTGATGAGCTCACAATCTTCCATCAGCTTTTCCTGTTAAACTCCTAGAAATTTGAACTGAGAAATACGAGGTGTCATGCTTACCGCAAGTGTCTTTTTTGTGTGAGGTTCTAGCACTTCAGCGATGTACCCCTTGCGAATGGCTCCATTTTGACATATTGTAACCTCTTGCCGAGGGTAAACACATAGACGCTCATCCAAATACAGATCAAATCTTAATTCAGAAAGTTCAATCGAGATACGGTGGCGCAAGCGTACCCGCTGAGCTCCATACTCAGGTTGATTGTTTCTGTTGTAAATGCAATCTCATGGGACGTTATTATCGCAGCACCAATTCCAATGTAAGAGGATACCTCCGTCCTCGTCCTTATACTTTTCTTGAGTTCGCAAATCTGGAAGAAAGTCTATACGACACGCATTTTTGGCAGAAATATACAGAACTAGCTGGCTTGCCCGGCTCCGCCGGGCCTGCCAGCTAGACCCGTGTACGTATGTTCCGAATAGAAATTTTTATCTCTGAACCGATTGGGACCGAACTTTGCACACATACACTTCGGGGCAGGGAGCGTGTCACAGCCCACTTTTCGTTATCGATCGATGTCGATTTTACCGATTTTTTGCAAAATTTGAGCTAGGGGGCTAGGATTTTGCACAGGGGGGTAATCGAGCATGCTGATCACCCCTTCGGGGTGATCAGCATGCTCGATTACCCCCCTCTGCCAAATCCCAGCCCTCTAGCTCGAATTTTGCAAAAAATCAATAAAATCGATATCGATCGATAACGAAAAGTAGCCTATGACACGCTCCCTGCCCTGAAGTATATGTGTGCCAAGTTTGGTCCCGATCGGTTCAGAAATAAAAATTTGTATTCGGAACATACGTACATACATACAGACAGACAGACATACAGACAGACATACAGACAGACAGACAAACAGACATTCAGCTTTATATATAAGATGGTTAAGATGGCACCCGCCTGAACTCTAACGTGGTCGGTAAAAGCGTATTTGGAGCACGGTGGCATCCCATCTGACAGAATTTTTCTTAGTTGCTCAATATCACTATAATAAACAAAGAGTCCTTTCTTATACTCAAGGGAGGAGAAAACTGTAAGCTGATGGTTCAATATATCAAAGCAACCAGACTGTTGGCCCCTTACGACAGCTTTGGTAATAGATGCTGTACAAACAAATTTGAAAGAGTGCAGATGATTGATTTACAGCCGAGAAGTCCAAACCTTCATCTCTATGTATCTATCTATTAGCTACGCTGCGAAAATCTTTCCATGCTTTTCCTTCATGTGGATTGTTTTGTGCAAACAATTATCGGACTGGTGCTGCACATGATGCAGCACGCAGTTTCTTAGGGTTGTTTCATACTGCCGCACTGACTGCAGCAGCAGCTGACCTCACTGACCGTAATGGCCGCACAAGCGCTGCATCCTATCGTAGAAGAGAAAATAGTTGCGAATACATCAAGAGACCGTGATTTACGCTTAGAAAGTTCATAGGTTCTAACTTACTCTTCTCAATCAAATTTTGGCGATTGTTACTCTTTAATATGCTCATATTTGTTCAGATTCTTTTTGTCATTGCATATCCTATTTTACTCCCGCTCGTGGTGTCTATTGGGGCATATAGTTTAAAGAGACTGTTTGAGCTACAACTATTTATCCTCTCCACCTTCACGAAAGGATGTGGCGATCTCTGCGGCCCCGCGGTCAATGCGGTCAGCTGCAGTCTGCTGCAGTCAGCTGCGGTCAGTGCGGTCAGCTGCAGTCTGTTGCAGTCTGCTGCAGTCTGCTGCGGCCAGTGCGGCAGTCTGAAACAACCCTTAGGGTCTTCCTTGCATTCGGCGCTTGGTTCTGTCACACTCCCAAGATATTCGAATTCGTCTGCCAGACCTGGCAGTGAGCACCTACCATCCCACGCGTTTTTTAGACTTTGCGGATTATTTCTATTTTTTTTTCTGTTCCCTGCCCAGTCTCTATTCCTGCCGTTCCGCGCGCTGCACACCGGGAACAAAAAATACAATCAACGTGGCTTCCTTTCGATCGTTTTAACACGTTCTCTAGCAAATTTGCGGCGCTTATTCGAAGTTGGCATGTTATAAACAATCGAAAGGCAGCCACGTTGATGGTGCTTATGGGGACATTTTTTGGGGAAGAGGCAATATTTCCGACCTACACACTGTGCTTGTGTCCCCACACACGGAACCATAAGCGGGCACATAAGCCCAGACATTATGTTCAAGCATTTTCTGTACCATATTTGCTTGGGAAACGATTTTTTCGCACGGGTGGTCTCCAGCGCTACCCTAATGGCTTGTCTCAACAAGTCACGCACGCGGCAAACCTTTTTTCTCGTGCTTTGCTTAGGCTGCGTTCATACTGATCCGGAAGTTCGGGAACAGTTCCAATACAGTGCTTGAAATGAGCGCTGTGCTGAAACTGTTCCCGGACATCGGGATCACTATGAACGCAGCCTTAGGCAAAAGCCGCCGCAGGACGTGTCTCGCGCGGCGGTGGTTATGCATGGAAAGCAATAAGGTCGTGCGATACGTCCTGCATTCAGGTGAGGGACTACATGCCCCCAAAGGAGGTGATCCACGCGTACATCTGCGAAAGCACAGGCTCCGCGCGCCACGGGCTTACAGATTTGTAACAGCATTCCGCGCTGAACAGAGCTCATTGGCGACATATAGTTCTCTACCCCACATATCCATTTGTACCACTTACACCCATTTGCTTGTGCAAAGATAACAAACGGCTTACCGAGTGCCCTCGTATTCGGATCCCGAGTCCTTTCCAAGAGCCTCAATTCGAGCAATCATGCGGAGAAGAGTTTTTAGATTGTCGCTTTGCATCTCCCTTGAGCGATGCTGTAACAGCAACATCTATGATCTCCCAGATCCGTGTGGAGCCAGGTTGCGGACCTTCCCTGATTATAAGGATAAAGTTAAAGATTTAAGAACAAAATAATCCCTCCCTATGACCAGGTCCGCAACCCGTCTCCACCCGAATCCTAGAGGCGATGATATTTATCTCGAGTTACATGTTTTGAAGATGAATGAACGACGAAAAAGTGGCAGATTGCCGACGAGAAAAAAACCCACGAACGCTTCTACCTGTTAGCGATTGAATCTGACCAGTGGCGCTCGCATAGGCAGGACGCGCGGATGCGCATGTTTACCGACGCGTAGTCTCGCAACGATAGCCCTCAGCTACGGAACGTAGATTTGCAGTAGCATAAGTCACAATAAATGAGGTTGCAAAATTGCTTGCTTGTATGTCTTCTTGCTGAGGAAAAATGGGAGTACTTGCGAGATTTGAACGTATAATCCAAATGCTTCCCAACACATAAATCATCAAATTCAATTTCTTCTCCAAATGCAGAACAGTCAAATGAAATCTTCTTAACACGTTGACGGCAGTGCCGCGCAATGGTGCGCGGCAGGCAGTCGGTCCCTGTGGACGCAATTGTGCGCGGCGGCCTTAATTTCGATACTATCTGTCCAATCCTCTCAGTTTTTGTTCATACAATCAACATAAGCTCAGATGTACTTCTTGTATTAGCCACGCCCCTTTTGGCAAACTCCGCCCGCTCCTATGCTTCCCACAAGGAGCCTCTTTGTTCATAAAAAACATGCATGAGGCCGTAAATCAACGCAGAGACCTCAAGCAACTCCTAGCCAAGCCCCGCCCACCGTCAGGCAAATTCCGCCCCTAAGTGGCAAGCTCCGCCCACTTTAAAAAGTGGCGGAAATTGCATGAATTCTCAGAATTTGGGCAATTTTCGACATTTTTGATCGAGTGGGCGGAGCTTGCCACGTGGGGGTGGGGCTTGCAAAACTAGCGCAAAATTCTGTATTATTTCTCTATTTGTTCACAAGAGTTACTTGATAAGATCTTGTGTCATTTCAACAGCACGAATAGCTCAGTTTAACCGAAGAACAAAGAAAGAAGAAATAAAACTTTATTGCAACTTAGAGGTACTCAACTTGTTTTAAAAACTAGTCTTACACATACTTTTTCGCAAGTGAAAATTTTTGTCGAAGACTTGTTCTTGTAAACAACCCATATTCCCTCCCCCGCCTCATACAAAAGTACCAGCTTTAGCGAAAGAAATATAGGCTGTTACATGACGAAGGCGCAACATCTTTGAGCGCGAAAGCGGCTTTATTAGCCGGAGAGCGCATGATGCGTCGAATTTACCACGGTGAAGATACGCGCGCATCGCATTCGCGCCCGCTCAACTAATACTGCTTCGGCACCTTCGTCATGTAGTAGCGTTCTCCGTGGCTGACGCTAAGTTTTCTGCAGCCAACTTGCAGTGTTAATTTCCAAAAGTTACCTCATCAAAAATTATAGCGAAAGCAAAATCCAGAATTTTGTAAATTCTCTTAGCTTTTGACGTTTTCGGCATACTTATTGTCAACCCTTCAGCATGAGAAATCGCAAGTGTTGTTCAATTTTGCTTAGATTTACTAGCACATGCACCTTAAAACTTTTTGGGACGTCCAGAATATTAATCATATGCCGATGTAATTAGAAGGATTATTAGGGCACATCAAGCGGCGTTTGCCTTGAAAATTTTGATCATGGATGGAAGAAGGAATTGCTGGCAGCTGAGTATGTATGTACAGCCAACATTTAAAAGGCAACGCAAGTTCGTATAAGACCTTACTCGGTCGATTTTGAAAAGTTGAAAACTGTCATATAGATTGTTTTCAAGCAAGTCAATAGCACTGCAGCCTGCTGAGGATCATCGTTGAAGAGTTTCAAATTCTGCTGATCAAATGCTCAGCCTGTGCGACAGTCTCAAGGAAATCCCAGGTTATCGCTTCGAGGTCATTCAAAATCAAAAGTGAATACAACATATTTCAGACACCACACAACCAGAGTCCAGATTGAAATACTTTAGTAGAAAAAATAGCAATACGAATGAATGTGAAAAAATGAATAGCAACTGGAAGGCGTTTTATATAAGCCTGTGCTTAGGCTAACTTCCCAGAACCAGTGATCACGGACGACGCAGAAGTTAGCCTGAATACAGACTTACATTCTATGCACTGATGAAAGAATGCAATGAGGACACGATCCGATGCCTTTGAGTCGATGCAATGCCTCCGAGTCGAAAAATATGGGAACATCATATGCAGGCACTTTGCTAGCTGGAACCAAGATTTTAGCCAATGCAAAGAGCAGACAAGGTGGTCGTTAACACGTTGACGACGAGCTGTTTTTTTGACGTCTGTCCCTGTGGACGAACCGTTTCCGGGCATTTTCACAGCCGACTGCATGTATGTATGTATGCATCTATGCGTGAGGTACAAAAATGCAAGTGGCGGGTAAGCTCCGCCCACTTTTCAAAAATGCTGGAAATTGCTCAAAATCAACGAATTCATGCAAATTCCGGCATTTTTGAAAAGTGGGCGGAGCTTGCCACTCAGGGGGTGGGGCCTGCACAATGGGGGACGGGGTCAAAATTAAGATCATTCAAGGTTTCCCAGTCATCTAAGAGCTTTACTAGGCTATTTGAGAACGAAAAAAGCTTTTTGTAGAGGGCAACGGAGTGGGCGGAGTTTCCAAAAGAGGGGCGGGGCCAAATGGAAAACTTCTGAGCCTAAATTGATTATGTGTACACAAATTGGAACCATGCATATAAGAACTGCTATTTAGGGTGTCGCGCACCATTGCGCGACATCGTCCACAGGGACAGATTGCCTGTCGCGCACCATTGCGCGACACTGCCGTCAACGTGTTAACAAACGGAGTGAACGACAGTCTCATAGAAGAACTCCTCAATCATGAAAAATTCGAAAACCCTGAAAAAATACCGGAGTGAGCAAATTGAGGTCGTTCAAATTTGAATCCGAACCATTTCCAAGGATACTTGAGGAAAGGCCAGTTTATGCTGCACTTCGTTCATAAAAGGTGAAAGTAGGCAGAAGGCTCAGCGGCATGGGAATGCCTTCTGCATGCCGATGGGTGTGTGACGTTTCGCACGACCGTAATGCTTTCCCCACGGGACCGCCGCCGCGCGCGACACACCCTGCGGCGGCTTTTGCCTAAGCAAAACAGGGGGAGGAAAGATTTGCGGCGTGCATTACATGTTGAGACAAGTCAGAATCAGGGAGACGCTGGAGACCGCCCGTGCGAAAAGACCGTCTCCCCATGCCGATATGATGAGAGGACGCTCAAGCGCTGCTACCATAACATCCTAGCTGTCAGCACAGAAGAATTTTTGTTGACTGAAGGTGTTTAGCTAACATCCTCAGAATGTTTAATACTTCTGGAATGTTTTCTGCATGCCGATGCGATGAGAGGGCATGATAAGAAGAGCTTGAACGAAGGTACATAATGTTGCAAATCAGCAGAAGTTTCGTGTAGCCCAAGATATTTTGTTAACATTGCCGAAATGAAAATTTTGAAGGCAAGAAGCACGTTCACAGACTTCAGTGGCAAAGGGAGGGGGGGGGGGGAACCGCGCCCCGCTTCCAAGAATAGCTAGCGATTCCAAAGTACAGTCTAGTACAAATTGACCATACCAGCCGCTCACTGCTGCTACGCGGCAGGCTCGGCTGGTACTCGACAGCTTCGTTGCCTCGTACACTGTTCATTCTAATGTATATCAATGTAAGATTAAGCCATTTTATTGCCTATTCGCGCGAATTACTTCTGCTTATGACCTGTTTGCCCGGTGGTCCATTGCTACCGTCGTCAGTAGAGATGAAGTCTGACTAGTACGTATCAGGGCCCGGCACAGATGGTTTGAGGTCAAACTGGACTTCGTTTTTAAGGTTAGAAGCAACGGGGATATCGTTTTTCCGAAAACCTGGGCAGAGCGCCGAAAACAAATATGACTGACATGTCAGGTTTACGAGTTGAACGTGTTCCTTCGCAACCGCGCGAATTTCGAACGTAAGACTCAAACAAACAAATGGCTTGTTTACAGCACACATACAATCACATGGCTCCGAATTTGGGCTATGTGTATACAATATTACTCCGAACTAAATTATGTAAAAAGTCTCAAAAACTTATGTGTCCTAATACCCGTTCCCGAATTTGTTGGTTTCTAGGCCAACACCGAACCAACTGGGTTGGTTCGGAGCATAAATATCGGAGAGTTCACATACGTTTTGGACCTTTTTGATTTGGACAATTAAAACGCTTGAAAATCTATCATAGAGCAAAGAGAGCGAATCAAACCATTGCCTCTCCTCTTCTCAGATAATCGCCGGGGGCAAGCGGCCATGCGAATTTTGAGCAAGCGGGCACCGGAAAAATAGTTCGCTGATTTTTTGTGGTCCGCTTGCAGAAATTTGGAATAATTTTGGCCAATTTTTAGACGAACGCTCGAAGATCTATCGCGGTTTTTCTATGCATAAGTTGCGGCACAGTGGCCGCATTCTCGCGGATTTTCCGCGAGAACATGCAAAATTATTGAGAGCCGCACGGTCCTTTTTGAAGGACCGCACAGCCCTCAGGTACTTCCCGCTGAAAGAAAGTACCCCAAACTTGGGTAATAAAACCATCCATGGCACCTCTGCCACATAGAGTCTCATCTTTTCTCGGCGTACACCCGAAACTGCGTAAAAAGAGTCTGAGCGCCTGCTGAAAGTTTGGCCAGCGCTCGCTGAAAGAGATTGTTTGACGAGCGCTTGCAGAAAATTTTGTATTGATGCCCGCTTGCAGAAAACGCAAATACCGCCCGCTGAAGATTTGGCCACGCCCCGAAATCCTGCTGACCGCCTGCAGAAAAGCGCGAGTTTGCGGACCGCCTGCCCCCGGCGATTATCTGAGTTTTTTCGAGGCAAAAATAGTGTAAAACTACGCGTTGATAGATATCGCGCTCCATCACATGCGGTGTCCTTCAAATTATGTGGCGAAA